TCGGCAGTTGCCGATTCTGAAGTTGGGATGCCCGAGCTCGGACTATCATCCACAATAGGAATCGTTGGCAGAGGAATTTACGATGACATTTCAATGCTTCCTTTCTATCTCGTGAAGTATGGTCCTCGGCAGTTGCCGATTCTGAAGTTGGGATGCCCGAGCTCGGACTATCATCCACAATAGGAATCGTTGGCAGAGGAATTTACGATGACATTTCAATGCTTCCTTTCTATCTCGTGAAGTATGGTCCTCGGCAGTTGCCGATTCTGAAGTTGGGATGCCCGAGCTCGGACTATCATCCACAATAGGAATCGTTGGCAGAGGAATTTACGATGACATTTCAATGCTTCCTTTCTATCTCGTGAAGTATGGATGTGAAGCCAGACTACCAAAAAACCAACCACCTTACTATAGAACTTGGACTTAACAGTAGACAACAAACCGGTCAGTTTGAAGCAAATAACACATAAGTAATTGCACGTTGGAGTGTGATACACCTATACAGTTAAATGTGTTTCTGCATGTTTCGCAATGGTGGCATGTTTCATCCCGGTTTTGCTTACTTTCCCCCAGTTTTTTCCACTTTGGATTTTTGCACTTCTATCTCCTTTTTCACTCTTTTCTTTCCTCTTTTTTCCTTGCTTTTTTTTTCATTTTTCTTTTGAATTTTCTTTGGCTCTCTTTTCTCTATTTTTGGGTTTTTCTATCGGTTCTTTCTTTTCACATCCCTCTCTTATTTGAGTTATTTACAAAAACATGACCGGATCCGATGAGGATTGCCTATGTATCACAACGCTGCGTGAAACAGATCATCATGTAGTTCAAGAAGTAAATGCGACAAATAAAGGAACAATTTTTTTTGGTTTTTTTTTTCAAATTTTCATTAATACAACTTCTACTTTACTGAATTACAAAAGACTCGAAACATACTTTTTCTAGGAAAAACTTCAAATAGACTCAAGACATACTTTCTCTAGGAATTTAAAACCCCAAATAGACTCGAAATATGCTTTTAAAAATGAAAATACATACTCGAAAAAAGAAAAAAAATACAATCAAGAAAACATCAGTGCCTTCAACCATGTCCTAGGAACACCAACTGGTCTTGCAGCGGGCCTACGTGCCATGTCATCTTGGAGCCGATAGAGATCCTCCATTATCTGGCGGACAAAGATCATTACAGTGGCGAAGAACATCGATCTGGTCATATCCTCACACGCGCTGCATTTCATTGTGATGTAGTCAGCAATCCTTCTGACCCTTTTTCTTATGATGCTCTTTTCTTGCAACAAACGCCCAATCTGCTGGGATCTAGCCTCTAAGACCTGGGTGGCAGTGTGATTTTGTTCTTGCAAGTGTTGTAGGTCCCCTTCCAACCGTGCCATCAAGGCGTAATAATGTTCTCTCTCGGCTTTAAAATTTTTGGCTTGTTTAGCCATTTTAATTTCGAGGTTGCTAATCTCCTTTTCCCAACCTGTGACCCTTCTTTCATATCTTTCTTTCATCTGTTGAACAAAAACTGCACGCCCCTCTGCATTTTTATCCAGCCTTGTTCGTACTTTTGCTAGCTTAGACTCAGATTTCTGCAAGTCATCTTCATAGTCACGCACCTTTTGGGTAAGGTTGTAAATGAGCCTTTCATCTTTCCTGCTTCTGCCCGGATTCTTGGCTGCTATTCTCAGCTGTCGAACCTGGACTCTAAGAGCTTCATTTTCTTGAACCAATCTTTTCCTCTCACCCTCGGCCTCTTGTGCCTGTAAATCATTGTTGAAGGTGACATTTCTCAACTCTTCTCGCAAAGCATGAATGCTGGCTTGATATTTCTTTTCCTTTTCCCCCCAGGCTAACCTTTCCTGAATTTTGTCATCAAAGGCTTGAACATGGGATCTTTTGGCAGGCCTCTCAGGTTCGGGCTCCGGCTCTACCTCATTGTTCGCATAGAAGCTCCTTTCAAACTAAGCAGCATAATTGGGATCAACTTCGCCCTTAACCGGGTCTGCTGCCTGGGTGTCACTTTTTAGATACCGACAATAATTCCAGTCCCTTTGAACTAAAGCCTTGGGTATCGTTGCTTCTGGGTGTAATTCAATGACTTAGGTGCTTAGATCTGCCTCTTCGGGTATCACCTGATATCTTCCCAGTTGTCTTAGAACTCTTTGTGGTGCATATGGTTGTATAATCCTCACTCCCATCATCATCAAGTAGCCCTTTGAAGCGGTCATGTATATGATTTCTGTTACCGGGAGCCATCCTATGGTCCATTCAATTTGATTTGCTCTCAATTTTCTCAAATTGGAAACCCAAGCTTCAAACCATTCTGGCGGTTTGTAGTCTTCCACTCTTTCCTCATACTTTTTGATGAAATTGGTCTCGTCCGAAGCATATCTCATGAACTTAGGATGACGGCAAAGGTGTTCGATCATCCACATTTGAAGAAGAACATTGCAACCTTCAAAAAATTGAGCCCCAGATTTGCATAGGGTTAAAGCCCGGTAAATGTTCGCCAGCACTAATGGGACAAGTGTATGATCTTTTTTGTCGACAAGGACCTGTGCGATTCTGGCCATATGAATGTCTATTGTGCCCTCCGCATTCGGAAAGACCATGACCCCTAGAAATGCCACGATGAAGGCAAACCTACGATGAATTTGCCATATGTTCTTGCCTTGTTTGTTACTCAACCCCTTTTCATGTGTTTCAAACCCGGCTGAGTGCCCGAACCTAAAATATAGGAAGTAGAAAGAGCAACACCCTTTGCTCGCGTGGGCCTTGTTCATTTGTTTGCTGATATTCAGAAGATCGAAGAATTTGTGCACCGAGGGAGCCCTGGGGAATATGAGTTGCTGCTTTCTTAAGTCTTGACCGAAATCAATATACCCGGTTATTTCTTCCAGAGTAGGTGTGAGCTCAAAATTCGAGAAACGGAACACATTGTGAACGGGATCCCAGAAGGCTACCAAAGCTTTAATTAAATCCTCCTGGGATTTGATGTGCATGATGTGTACTAGGGAACCCAATTGTTCTTTCACCCATTCTCGGCCATCATCATCTAAATCATCCCACCACCTGCGAAGCTGCAACCGAGACCGTTCTATGACAGATTGCGATGAGTCCTAGACAGTATTCATTTGTACCTACGGAGGGTTAAGGTTAGGGTTGACTCTTGTGGACTCTTTTTGCAAAACAAGTTTTTCTTAAGAAAATCAACGGACAAGGACCCTTTTATTGCTATGTTAGCAAAAATGGTCGTTTTTACCAACGTGGCCCCTTCACAATTTCAAACGAATTTTTAGGCACGGGGGTAAGTATTTAATTGGAAAAGACACATTTTAAACAGACTTGCCTGTTCCTCCCGAAAATAGCCTTTCGACAATTGGAATGTAATCTAAGGCTACTCCGGTAAGAAACGACTTAAAATACAACCAAAGCTAGGTCGGCTTATTGTTTTGACCAAAGCCCTGAAACACCCTTTATTTTATTATTTATAAAAATGAGGCCGAACCTTATGTGAGTTGCCTACGTATCCCATATCCTGTGAGAATCAGACCTGCGTAGTTCGGTCAATTTTGACATAAAAACATGATATTTGACTCACTCTTTTGAAATACATTTTCTCTTTTTTTCCTTCTTTTTTCAAAAATTTGGCAGAGGTTCGAGATATTTTCAAATACCGGAATTTAGAAATCGAGTAAATTCTCTATCCTACCTCACTCTTGATTTTTCTCTTTATTAACCGGTCAACATGCAAGCCGAAATAAATAAATAGTCTCATAGCACGTAGGATGCATCAAGTTTAACTTCTTAGTCCAATTTTTTGAAAGGTTGAACCTATTCAATACTTGACGTAACAGAGGTCAGGCCTAGCCCTCTCCTTTTGTTATCTTTTGCGATGGAATGAAAGCACATCCAATCTCTAAAGGTTGGGATTAAATAAAAAACAACTTATAAAATGAGAGACGAGTCTTCTTTCATATATTCCAAACTCTGCAGATTTATCTTTTTTGTACATGTGTTACACCTCCTTTTTACCCACCCGAGGGGGTACATAAGGGAGTTTTTCCACTTTAAGTGACATTATTCGAAATGGAATTATTTATTCAATTAAGAGTTGCCACTTGGGATAGTTTATTTGGTGTCCCAAGTCACCGGTTTATTTTTAAATCCCAGATCGAGGAAAAATCGACTTTCCTTTTGAAGTCTGCGAACCAAAAATTCTAAGTAAGGAATTATGTTAACCCGGGAGAAGGTGTTAGGCATTCCCGGGTTTCGTGGTTCTAGCACGGTCGCTTAGAAATTACTATTTGGCTTCAATTGTCTAATTACTTATTTTAGGACCTATGTGCATTTACCTTTTAACCACTTTTAATAACTTGATTTATTCAAAAATTAAAGAATTGAGTTACGCGTACGTATACTCTTTTCTTTTGACGCGTCAAAATCATGTCACGCGAACGTGTCCATGATTAATAATGCTTTTGTTGATTTATTAAGAAAGTTTGGTTGAAGTTGTGTGAACGCATCCCTCGAGTCTTTTAAGTATTTAATTTGCAATTATATTACGCGAACGTATATATAGTCGCAATACTAATCTAAATCGGGCCTAAAGCAAACTACGAAAGTTCAAGGCAATTTTTATACTAATATTTTTATTTGTTTATATGAGGGCCAAAAATTAAAGGATTTTATTTGTATATGGCACACCCCAAATTATTTTAAGAAGAAATAGTTCTTGATCTAAATTTGTGAGGGCCATGTGTGATTTTAACAAAAGATGGCACACCTCCAATTATTTTTAAAAGGTTTGCTAATTGCATACATGCTTGGGGTTGGTGTGTTTACCCTTTAATCATTTTAGAAAAGGGAGTTGGGCCAGCAGTGGCCCATTAAGGTTCATATCAATCGAGCCCAGATTCGTAGACTCTGGAGGTCCAGTTACTAATACCAAATTCACACAAGGTTAAAACAATAAGAAAAAATGAATATAGCTCATGATTGTCACGTGATTGCAACAAATTAACAATTGACAATTGAAATTACAAGGTTTACTTTTGGCTTACAATTAGATAGCTACCAAACTACTCTCATAAATCATTTGACCATTGGCAGTAGCTAAACATCCAAACACAAATGAGATTAGTCTAAATGTTGTGCAATTTCTTAGTTTAATTACAGAATAATTTCAATTTGAACTGAAATAATCAAAGCGATATATTTTATTAGTTTACCACTGTAAGCATTTTGAATATGAATCACCAATTTTTGGAGAATAAATCATCACTCCAGATACAATGGACTAATCATGAGATAATTTAAGCATGAAAGAACCTGTAAGCTAAACTAGTGACACATCCATAGTAATGGGCTTAAACAATGACATTGGGTAATTGCATAAATCAGGAGATAGTTTCAATTACATCATTTAACTCAAATAAACAATCAGAGAACTAGAAAGCTTGTACCAAACAAGATTTGCAGTCGAATCTGATGATGGAATTTAACACTATCATAGCATAAAACAATTCAAGTTTCCATTTATAAGTGCAATAGAGTACTACAAGTAAGTTTGTACATACATGAAGGCAGGAAAAAAAACAGCAATTAAAATACCAAATAAGGTTAGAAGGCCAGGGAATGAAGCTTAGCAGTGACGAGCTAACACAAACAACACCAGAACAATTGCAGCTTAATGGACCCAGCAACGACTAAAAGCGAAAGCCGACTTTCAAATCCAGACAAGATGAAAACCAAGTAGCAGAAAAGAAACAAAGCTAGAAAACACTCTATTTATCCAAAACACAACTCAACAATTGCACTAATAGCCTACGCAACTCGGACAGAATTATGACATGAAAACAGATTTTTTTTGAATAGAACAAACAGGGAAAACATAGAGGTATAGACATACCTAGCTTGCAAGAAAATAACCAAAATGACTAATCAATGATGGGGATGAAGTCCAGCAACAATAGTGAACGAATCAGCAGCAGAGACAGGGATCGACAAGCTTAAACCACATCAACACTGGAATTTCGGACCTCAAACTCAAAACCAACTTGAACTTCATACCGATCTTCCTTTGAAAACCAAAATCAAGAGAAAGAAATAAACACTGAATAGATTCTGTTTGAACGATTTTTGTTTGAAATTTCTCTTGAAATGAAGTAAACTCGACTGAAGAGATTGGACTCAAACCATTGTGCTCTTTGTTTTTTTTTTGTATGTTTTCTGGAAAAAAAAGGAAGAAGAAAGTTTGAAGAAGTGACAACTAAAAAAAACCTAGAAATTTCGACTAAGTTTTCTGAAGTTTTATCCGATTTTTTCTGATTTCTTCTTCTTCTTCTTCTTCTTCTTCTTCTAGCACATAGAACTTACCTCATATATATAGCTTTCAGAAATGTCCAAAAATCTGCCCAAATTTGAAAAATCCTTCAAATTCTTGAACAATTTTTGTAGGCGTGGATTGATTCACAGGCTCCCATTCATCCAATAAATCGTTCTTTTTGTACAAAAATCCGCAGTTTTGAGGGAATAATCGTACTCCTCTCTGACAAATCTGTTGGGAAATAGAGGTGACGTGGAGAGGGGGACCGACTTGAATGAGCTCGCTCGAAACTCAGGCGAGTTGAAGCCAAGCTCAGTGAAGAAGAAGCACAGTAGCACCGCTTCTCTGATTTCTCTTAGGGTTAGGGAGTTTGGGGAAATATTATAAGGAGGGTTTTATATTAAGAAGAACAGGGCGGGTTGATTAATGGGTCAATCCGATTTCTTGGACTGGGTCGAACCGGTGGGGAAAGGGTTCTTTGGGCTGAAGGTGTTAATGTTTGGGGTTGGTTTAAGGGAAAATATTTGGGCCGAATTTGGGGATGGCCCAATTTCACCAAATGAACTCTTCTTCCAATTCTTCTTAATTATAATTCCCCTTTCTTTTCCTCCTTTTTAATTAAAAATCCTAAATCATCTAAAAATGTGAAATTGAAGTAATTAACTAATTATAAAAATTATAAACATTACTTAAATCTATATTAAAAGTAAAAAATCAATAAACTAAAAATAAAAGACAAAAAATGTAAAATGAGTTATTTTTTGTGATTTTCAAATTTTATAAAATAAATAATTACTGATTAATTCTAAAAGTGTAAAAACAAATCCTATCATGATATTTTTTGTATTTTTTATGATTTAAATAAAAATTAAACAAGCAAGAAAAATGTAAACAATTAATAAAAATGGCAAATAATTAATAAAAAAATTTATTTTCTTAAATTTTGTAGGAGTATTTCATGTATGGCAAAAATCACGTGCTCACAATACATGAATAAATTCTCTCATTCTTCATATCATATTGGAGGCTAAGGTCTATGTCATTTTTTGTGTATTTTTTCGGGTGGTATTATAGACAGGTAAGGGTTGATGCGTAACCCCCTCCACCACAAGTCAGCATAGTAATGGATTTAATAAAAGAAAATCTAAGTAATTGAATTCTTTTAACTTAAAGTCAGATTTCTTTATTTTTCAATTAAATGGAGAATAGGACTTGTGGAGACTACAATGTGCTTGAGGAATAAATGCATCTTTTCACGAAAGAATAATTGTTCAACTGTTCAATAAATGTTTATTTTTAGTTTGTCAATAACCGTACGTACTTTATACAAAATATGTTGAAGCTTAAAATTTAAGCACTACTTCAAATTATGGGTGAACGTACGATCTAATTGAATATTAAAAATCTTATTTGACCTTAATTTTTTATATAGGACAACAAAGTACGTCGTAAAATTCAATTCTTGTCCGTGTAGAAACACCGTAGACAGAAAATGTTAAACTTTTGAGAAACTTAAAGTTTCCATTATCAGCCATTTCACAAAAAGTATGGCTTTAATTTCTTTACAGCCCCCAGCCAATTAGTACCCCATTTTGAGGAAACATGACAAGAAAGAAAAAGAGAGAAAAAACACAGTTGGTAGGCTAATTAAGAGCCTACAGCTATGTTTTTTTTCCATACAATAAGTTAAAGCCATATAGCTTTGGCATTGATGAGCATTTCTTTAAGAGAACCATCAACATGAAGGGAAATAACATCCTTAGCTGAACCAACAAACTGTCCACCAATGAAAATAGCTGGAACACATGGATTACAACCTAAGCTTCTCAAAGCCACTGCCATTTCTATTCCTCTTGAATCTTTGTCCAATTCATGAACAGCTGGGCTTGCTCCAATTTCATAGAATAGTGCTTTTATGCTATGACACATGCAACACGAGCTCTTTGTGAATATTACTGCTGCCCTCTTTGATGCCAACTCTCTAATCTTATCCATTATTAGTATCGTAAATCTTAAGATGAGTTCAACGAGAACAGAAAAAATCTCGTGTAGAACAGAAGGGAGTATTGCAAGTCTAAATGATGCTAGTGTTGTAAGCTTTAGTGATGTTTGAGGTTTCATATCTTAGGTTATTTATAGGGATTCTTGATAGATAGGGATTACATTGTTTATCCAGAAAAGGCGGGGAAAAAGATTATGAAGCTAAAAATGAAAGGAGAAAATTCCTTAAAGATATTTCTTCTTATAAAGGAATCAAATATTTAAGTATGGAGAACTTAACAAAATAAAATATTAAAAAAAGTGTGAGCATTTTGATAATGTTCTTGATTTTGACCACTTATATAGTTATATGCTATGAACAAGTTGATGAACAGAGCCGCCCATAACGATAATACCAGAGACTCCTGCAATGTCCGTACAGCTATAATAACATTGTTTAGAATTACTGTACGAGGGATTTAAAAGGTAAAGATTTTATTCCTTCTATAGCTGATAAATTCTTATAATTAATTGAAAAACTTTCGGTGATAAACTACTAAATCTAGTATAATAGAGTATTCAACTATTTCAAGAATAATGATGTGTAAAGAGTCTAAAAAGAATACTACTGTATCATTAGATATAGAAGAATGTCGAATAAAATAAAACTATGCCTTACACATATAATTATACAATGCATGCGCAGAGGCGGATTCAGAGGCTTATGGGTTCCTACCGTAATTTCAAATTAATATGCAATAATAATTGGGTTCACAGTTAGATATTTACAAATATTTAGTGATTTTTTTAATATAAATACAGAGTTTACGCAAGAGTTACTGGGTTCCCGAAAACCCGTATTACATGCTCTACATCCGCCCCTGTGCATGCGTACGTAGGAGAATATCATCAATAAAACTTGGGTCTGAAGAATTTTTTCTTGTGAACAAGGGAGCAATGTCGTCACACAAGTTCAGCCACTAGATTCAAGATGTAAAAAGTTATAATATTCCTCATTCCTCTAAATATGTTTAGTAGATAAAGTCAATTTCTATGGAATCAAAGCAGCTAATAATTTGAAATGTAGATTCCTCACTTTATCCAAAAGGAGATTTTCATGTTGCAGAGTAAAGGGGTGATTTTCTGGGCAGTTACAAGTGTGCTCGTTTTGTAGTGGTTATTATTGGAGGATCTACAGCTGATGTGTGAAAGATAAGAACTTATCCTATTTGTTCTCACCTTTAATTTGCTTATCTACGAGATTCATCAAACCAAGATTCCTTTTTCGCCGAAATAATGGTTCTCCATAGCGGAACCAAGCCGTTTGTATCAGAATAAGTTGTTGTCTCTTTATATATGAAATTCGGTAATTATCACATCACGTACTAACTTTTAGATTTAGTTAGGCCTAAAATTTATTTTTAATTGAATTGCATGATCAGAGGGCGTAGCTACATTCAATGAAAGAGGTTCAATTGAATCCGATCAGTCGGAAAACTATAATGTGCCTATGTTGTAAAAATTAACTATACTGCGCATATGGCAGGCACTCTTCTAACATTATATATGTGCGTTTTTTTCTACTTGTTTCATTAGTAGTTATCTTAGCTCTTAAGGAAACACGGGATCGGTGTTAGTAGATAAATCAAAAAACCAAAAAAGAAAGAAACAAGAAGTATCTCCTAGTGATATATATATATATATATATATATATATATATATATATATATATATATATATATATATATATATATATATATATATATATGCATCTTTGCTTCCCCTTTATCTGTAAAAAGGGATGCTGTTTACCCAGAAAAGAATATGGGCTGCAAACGGAGGAAAGTTCTTCGTAAGCTTATGGCAGGAAACATTGCAATTTGCATGCAGCCTGTAGGCATATTGGCTTAATTCTCAATCCTTTTCTAAAGTTAGTTAAGTTCCCCATGACTTATGTATGTTCATAGTAAATGATTAAGATGTGAATTTCATGATTATAAATCACTTTTTATCATTTCTCATTGGTACTCACATTGGGCCCGACTAGTTTGGATTCGCGTGGTATAAGACCCATTAATTAAAGGTAGAAGTGCTCAATATAAGGATTTTTTTTCATTCCCGAGCCACGAATCTGCGAGATCTCTGATTAAGGGTGAAGAAATCATATTCATCTGACCACAACCCTTGATAGTAATTTTAAATCACTTAATGAGGAGTAACATAAGACTCACTATTTTTGTGGTAATCAGTATTGATGACGCCCAATCCTACACCTCTTAAGAAAGCGTAGTACGGTCGTTAACAATAATAAACCCAACAAAGGATCGAATCCCACAAGGAGCAGGTGTGTGTTAGAGTGTACAAATACGTGCAAACTCGATGATTTTAAATGTAATCTTCAAACAAAGAGTGGTTGTTCAATTATGTCTACCATTACTACAAAGTTTAACTAAGGAATTCTATCGAACACATAGAGTGTAAATAAGATAATGTGTTTTCTAATAAAGAGAAGGACTGAGGTTGCAACCTCAATATAGCATAATTAGTTCATGTGTGTCTTTAATCTTGCGTAAATACTTTGGATTAGTGATTATGATCCAATTGATAGCTACTAACCAGATTTTTCCAACTCTAGCAAGCTTTTCCTTAAGAAGTTCTTCCAAACCCAAAGAACTTCAATAAATCTCAATTGATAATGACCCAAGTAAAAGCCTCCCTATTCCTAGTTCGCTTTCATTATTCAAGCTTTATTAATTTCTTAATAAGCTTAAATCCTTGCTATTTGTTAATTACCCAATCTAATTTCCACCTTTTCAAGTAAGAAATAGATAATAAAGGATTCAATCTAGTGTTTTCAACCACCAAAATTAATATTAAAGCATGTAAGCAAGTAGATAATCACAATCCAAGTAATAACAAGCAAGATGATTAAACACCCACTCATATTAATGCCATAAGAGTTACAACCAGTTATAGAACTTAGCTACTCGTGCTAGAAATAGAAAACAAGAGATGAAATAAGAACATAAGCATAATTAAAGATTAAAGTTATAAGAAAATTCAAACAAAAGTGTTGTTGATCTCCCAATCTTTCCCAAAATAGCTCAAAAACTGCTATGGAGTACAAGAGAATGAAAGATGACCTAAGAATTGTAGCTAAAAATCTATTTGTAGTCGTCTAAAAGTTATGACAAAAATGCTCCTCGGATGATTGCGTAGCTACACAAGAAGCGATGCGTATCTACCCACAACTTCAAATACGTAGCTTGGATTCAGGTATCTTCTGTAGGACATTAGCGGACCTACGCACCACGCGTAAGCAAAAACAGAAGTTACCCAGGTTGTTGCGTCCAGCCCTCTTCATGTGCAGCTTGTTTGCC